CCTTTAAATAGTTTATATAATATCAAAAGGATTTGATATTTATATTTTCATTTTCATTCAGTTCAAAATAACTTCTACTTTCCACTGGGTTATTTAGAGTTACATTTCTTCCAAATTTCATAATTTTTGTTATTTTGTTCTGCTGTAGTCAGAGAGCCTTCTCTACATGATTTAAACACTCTGAAATTAGTTGATAGTTTCTTTATAGCTTAATGTATAGGCAACTTTGATAAATGCTCCATAATCACCTGGAAATGTATATTTTGCAACTGTTGGTACACTGTTCTGTTTAGTTTCATTAGATTAAGTCTGTTGTGTTGTTCCAATCTCCTATATCCTTACTAGTTTGTGTGTGTGTGTGTGTGTGTGTACACCCTTTTATCATTGACTGAGATAGGTGCATTAAAATTTTATATATGGACTTACACTTTGGTCAAGATGGACTACCAGGCACTTTACCCTCCTGCCTGAAGCAACTAAAAATATGGTCAAAATATATAAAACAATGCCACTGAAGAAACTGGACAAGTAGCATCGAAGGACTTAATTGCTGAGAGCATAAGAAACAAAAAAAGGTGAAACTCAGGCCAGAGCCCAGCAGTTTTCCAGAGTTGAGGAGACAGAAGTGGGAGGTCCAGGAAGGCCGACGTGGCTAGAGTTCAATCTTTCATAAACTCTTCCAGAGAACAAACAAAAAGGGAACAATTTCCAGCTCCTTCCACAAGGGCATTTTAACATTTAATAGCAAAACCTGACAAGGGTATTAAAGAAAGAGAAATTACAGATTATCTCTCTCTTGAACACAGATGAAAAAATCCTAAACAAAATATTGCAAAATAAATCTAGGTATATAAAAACAGTAACATAAATGACCAAGTGGGGTTTATTCTAGTAAAGCAGAGGGTGAGGTGGGGGAACATGAGTGGATGCAGAAGGTGTTAACATCACAAAATCTATCAATTAATTCACCACACTAATGGATAAGAGAAAAATGATTTGATCATCTCAACAGATTCAAGAGAAGTATTTGACAAAATTCAACACCACAAATCCTCCTAGCAAAGTAAATAAAAGGGAACTTCCTTAAGCACATAAATACCACAAAAACCCTACAGCATTCAGCATGCTCAGTGGTGACATCTGAAAGCTTTCCACGAGAGATCAGAAGCAAAGAACTTCCACTTTGACCATTTCTATTCAATATTGTACTGGACATTTTGGCCAGTGCAATAAAAAATAAAATACAAAATGACTGGAAATAAGTAAAAGTGATGAGTGCAGAAAAATAATAAAAGTGAATATGCAGAAAACTCCAGAAGAATCCACAAATTGTTAGAATTAATAAGTGAATTGAGCAAGGTTGCCAGATACAAGGTCATTATAAAAATCAATTGTATTTCAATATTTCAGCAACAAATAGAAAACAACAGACTTAAACGGACACATCACAAGAGAGTATATCCAAGTGGCCAGTATTTGAAAAGATGCTTATTTAGCATTATTAATCATTATGGAAATTAAAATTAAACCCACAATAAGATACCAGTACACATCAGACTCTCTGAAACAAGAAAAATAATAGGCTGACTAGGCTGCTGTAGAGGTAGCCTCTGAGATAGCCAGGTCCTTTCCCATCCAAGTACCAACCGGGCCTGACCCTGCTTAGCTTCAGAGATCAGAGGAGACTGGGTGTATTCAGGGTGGTATGGCCACAGACCCAGGTCCTCTCTTAGCTTTGTTTATCAAACACTTCTTGGGGATGGGGACAGTTAGAGGATTCCTGAGGTATGCTTATAGACCACCACATCCCTTAACTGGAGGGACTTGGTCCCCAACATCAACCTCCTAGTGGAGGTTAAAAATTCCTATTGCCTAGTGATACTGCAGCTGTTTTAACATCATGGTATAATTACTATATTTTAAAATAAATTTAGTGTAGCCTAAGGGTGCAGTATTTATAAAGTCTAGAGTAGCACATAGTAATGTCCTACCTTCGCATTCACCCATACTTACTGACTTAGCCAGAGCAACTTCCAGTCCTGCAAGCTTCATTCATGGTAAGTGCCCTATATAGGTATACCATTTTTTATCTTTTATACCTTATTTCTACTGTGCCTTTTCTATGTTCAGACACACAAATACTTACCATCATGTTACAACTGTATAGTATTCAGTATAGAAACACGCTGTACAGGTTTGTAGCCTAGGAGCAATGTGCTATATCATATAGCCTAGGTGTATAGTAGGCTATACCTTCTAGGTTTGTGTAAGTACATAGCATCGCCTAGTAACACATTTCTCAGAATGTATCCCTGCTGTTAAGCGACACATGACTTTGTAATAACTTGTATTCATTTCTTGAGCTGCTCTAGCAAATTACCACAAATTGGGTGGCTTAAAACAACAGAAATTTATTATTTCACAATTCTGGAGGCCAGAAGTCCAAAATCAAGGTGTTGACATGGCAGCACTTCCTCAGGAGGTTATAAGTGAGAATTCCTTTTTTGTTTCTTCCAGCTCTTGGTAGCTGATGGCATTACTTGACTTGTGGCTACATTTCTCTCTGCTCTGTCTTCCCATTGCCTTCTCTGTTATCTCCCTTTGCCTCTTTCTTATAAGTATTTGTGATGGCATTCAGGCCCCTTCCAGATAATCCAAAGTAATCTCTTTATCTCAAAATGCTTAATTTAATTACATTCGAGCGAAGACCCTTTTCCCTAAATAAAGCAACATTTACAATTCTAGGCATTAGAGTTTGATATTTTTAGATGTCATTATCTAACCTACTACACTTGTGTTTAATATTCTAAATAAAAGAATGGACTAGTGAGACTGTGGAAAGGTAGTCAGGGGAAGGAATGGCCTGAGAAAATCTGGTTTGTGTTGGGAGGAGCTGACCTGGGAGAAGGTAGAAGCCTTAGATATCACAGGGGTAGCATTCTCTGGGTACAGAGGAAAGACTGAAAGGAGATTTTACAAAGGGGTGCTAAAGCAAAATGTCCCCCTTGTCAGGTTCCTGGGATCTGATCCCACAAAATAAATGGCTGCATTTACATATGCGGCCCAAAGGAGTGGGTAAAAGGCATGCTGTGGGAGACCCAGCTAGCTGCCCATTCGATATTCATTCTTTCCTTTTTCACTGAAGAGAATCCCAGTTTTGTTTTGGGCATCAATTACTCAGCTAAAACATCATTTCCCAGGTTCCCTAGCAGCTGACTGGACTACAACACAGTTCTGACTAATGGGACCTTCCCGAAAAGCCATTGTTTTGCTAACCAAAAGGGATACACACATTTGCACCTTTTCCCCTAAGCCCTTCCTTCTCCTTCCTTCCTGAAATACTGAGGTGATGCCTTGAGGTGTAAATGTCCCCCCTCGCTCCCCCAAGTATTGTGGAGTTGCTATATCAGCCCTAGATATTTTGTGGATTTTTCTGTTCTAAGAGAAAAAGCCACTTTCAATCAAGCACGATTTTCTCAACTTAATCAACAGCTAGGTGTTTCACAGATTCTATACGGTCAACAATCATTAGACCACTCCAAGTTCTCTGGAGACTTAAAAAAATAATAAGGCTTTCACACCAACATGGGTCCCACATGTTCTATACATTACGATAAAGTGCAGAGAAGGTTAATGTACATTTTTTTATTGATTCCACCAATGTATTAGTAGATATGATAATAATAAGTGGTACTTTTACATTCTCTTAACCAAAAATATAACAAATATTTACACTCAGTAAAAATACAAAAAGCATAGAGAGGCACTGTCTTTCTAAAAGACATAAGTTTAAGAGGTATTAAAAAATAGGAGACAAACATTGCTTGTTACAGGATACCTTACAATCAATGAATTGTGCAGTGTAATTGCTATTTGATTATTACAACTGTGCAGTTTTTTTGTCTTCTGCTGATAAGCTTACATGTTTCAGTTTTAAAAGATGAAGTTCAACTGCAGTCTGTGTACTAAAAATAAAGAAGCCTTAGAAAGCACAACAAAAGCTAAAGATAAATTAGGGTACAAGTTTAAATTTGAAAATGTACTGTGACACTTTACTGAAGATTTACCCCTTTTTTCCTAGCCTTTAAGGAAATGCTAAAGGGATACATACAATGTAGCTGTACTTAACATTACATTTTTAGAAGCTTAAAATTATATCAGAATAACAATTATTGTTTTAATGATACAAGGATGACTTGTCCTCCCCCCTTTTTGTAGGGAAAAGAACACTATAAAAATCAGGCTTGTTCTTAGCAATCCCCATGATTGCTGCCATGTTTCCAGCCCGGAGAGATGCATAAGGAGATTATGCAGATGACGATGACAATGACGTGACTCACCCCTCATCTCATGAAAACCCACTGAAGGCTGCAGGCTGCTTCTTGCCAAAGATCACACTGAAAGTCATCATCGCAGATGACGATGACAATGACGTGACTCACCCCTCATCTCATGAAAACCCACTGAAGGCTGCTTCTTGCCAAAGATCACACTGAAAGTCATCATCTGGAGGAAGCGAGAACCTATTGATTACAATAAACTTTTATGGAAGCATGTATTGAATTTACTAATTCTCCAAATCTTTCTCTTTTATGAAGAGATTTTGTTGAAACTTACTATTTGGCACAGTGTGCACTGATGGTTTACTAACTCAGTAGTCTTGGCAGATTTAGAGTTGTGGTAAGAAGAGAGGGTACTAGTCTCTTCACTAAAAAGTTATAAATTTAAAAATGAAAACAAAAATAAGCGGAAATTTAGAATTAAAACAAATACAGGTTAAGGCTTTCCTTGTTCTAGTCATGAAAAATTAAGAGAAGGCAGGAATGTACCCCTAAACTAAAATATAAAAATCAAAACCTCATGAATTTTTAAAGGTTAACGATACATATCAAACTGCAAATCATTTTACTTTAGTTCCTGATCAATGTGATCAGCTGATCCAAACACTCACAGTTAGACAAAATAAAGGCAACTACAAGGTCCAAGTCCAAAACCACTGGCTTCAACTCTCTGTGCAAGACATTATTTACACCATTACGGACAAAGATGGGTAAGGCTTCCATTTGGTTTGAAAGACCTGCTAATAAATAAACAGATATTGTGCAAACAGCACATTTTTCTGGAGTAATGGATACAAAATGGTGAGAATAAATACCCAAACCTGATAAAAAGGTGATTATAGCAAAAATATCTTTCACTTTGTTTTCCTGTGCACATGAAAACAATATTGTATAAATTCAGTGAAGGAAAAAAATATGTAATCGGAAGACCACTGTTTACAGACCAAATCACTACAGTGTGACTTTCAAAAAAGGATTTTTGATTCAGGCCACTTTCTTTTGCAAAGGACCAAGAAAGCTATGGATCCATCTAGCCTCATTCTAACATACCCGGGGTTAATTTTTAAGGTTTAAGTTTCAGATTAATGTTTTTTCCCCCAGGGGAAATTTTCAGGCATGCTACTTTTTCCTAAAATGAAGAGACAGTCATTTTGATGGGAAAGATGAACTATTACCATTTGCCACTTGGAACTGATTTATGATTTTAAAATGAAGGTGACAGACAGGCAGGAAGATGGAACAGAAAGGAAAAAAGAACTCCTAAAGAAGAAGTCACAAACCAATTAAATCCTACGTGGTCACATACAAACAACCATTCAGAAGTAAACCCATTCTGGCTCTAAGTTGATCTGGGTAGTGCACATTAATGGCTTTGGCTTTAAAAAATTTTTTTGGTAGTCACAGAAGTTTATGAAAATCTCATTTGCCTTTAAAATTTAAACTTAATGTACAGAAAACACTGTTTAATATGTAAAAATGTGAAAAATCTACCTCAACCAGTAAACGGTCATTGAAACCTCACTACTTTAATTAAGAGTGCCATGCCTAAGAGGCTGGAAACGTATGTCATTTCGAGGACAATCATTTGTGATCTCAAACTGAGAACCAAGAGACAAATCACTTCTATAATTCCAGCTCTACTTTCACAAAATTTTCAACCCATTTTATACCTTAGTGGGCTACTGAGCTGAGAGCTGCAGTGTTATCAAGATCAGATACAACCTGGCACTGTGAGATGTGGGGGTGTTAAGTTTGCAGAACACTGCATAAAGTCAAATTCATCTTAATCATTACAACACCTATGATTATACTTCCTTTAAAAAAAAGAACTCCATACTTGAATTGTGAGAATTTTTAGTTTTGAGTTTCTATAGATTAGAACTCTTCAGAACCCATTCTCTATTTATTGGATTTATAATTTTAGTTACAATTAGATGTAGCATGACTTTCACTTCAGAAAGAATTTGTATACACATCATTTAACATCAAAATTTTGTTCTCTGGAAATTAGGGTTCCTACCCACCCCATCCAACCCCCGTACCCCTTTCCCAAAGGACTGACAAGAAACCCTGTGGCAGCTTCATTTGGCCTTCTACACCATGATCAACAGGTTCCTAATACCTCAACTGCAAAGGACTTCCTATCCCACTCATACTGAGACTCTACATTGCACTGGTGCCACAGATCGAGTTATATCTCTGTATACATCAAGCATATTGTCTCTGTAAAGATAACTCTTTTGGTCAGACCAGAGACAGTTTTATGGCCTCAAACATAAACATCAGCTCCCAAACACAAACAAAATCACAACACTTCAAATAATAAGTTACTTTGCAAAAACATAAGAATATACTTGGTATTGGCAGACATTTTGAATTTGTCCTTTAGCCCAAGCTATGGCTTGGAAATAATACCACTATCTTTAAAATAACTTGTGAAGGAAAATCTACAGTGATACACATGGGCACAACTCTGAGTTTGAATTTGTCCTGTACTTGTGGTCCCAAGGCAGGTCTGGCGTGCAAAGTAGAGACTGGTATCTGGGCACGGCATCCATAGTTGAAGAAACTATACATCTGCAGGGTTTAAATGAAAGGAAGCATGATTCAAGTCTATTTCATTTGCTCAGAGTACAGGGAATGAAACCTCTGGGTTAGAAGCAGCAGTGAGCTGTTTGTTGGCAATGGGCTGCAGAATCATGATATGGTTCTGCCCACTCCTCCATGACATTCAGTGGTCTTCAAATGGGTCACATCCAAAAGCTAGACTGCTGAAACCTGTTCATTTTCTGAAAATAATAAAACACAATTAACTTATAGATCAGCATATTAAAGGAGATCAACTCAAAATCTAGTTATGTTTAGATAAGTCAATTTCAACAAAGAATTCCTCTCAAACATCCTTCGAAGGCCCAGATTTTATCATAATGACATTTATGATTTCTGACTGCATTGAAGGCTAACAATATTCTGGAATCTCATAAAAGTTTTTAATGATTTTATTACTACTGTATTGTTTAAAAGGATAAAAGTTCATTTACTTTTAATAAAGCAAACCATTTTTCAAACTAATGGCATAGTTACAAAGTTAGTCAAGAATTTTGCTATTAAGAGGAACTATATTGAAAGCATCATTTCCAATAATTTGGCATTTGAAATACAGTTTCAAGTTTCCATGCATTAATGTCGAATTAATAACTCCACTAATGTCAAATGCCTCCTCTCAAAATTATTAGACTGAGCTGCTAGTTCTATCAATGATAAGAATACTCCATTTGAATCAGAAGAGTACAGGGCACACAAAACAAGCAGCTTGCCATCTCCATTTTAAAAATACACTATCATATTTAGGGATTTTTAATTTTTTTAACAAAGACTTCTAAGATGTTTAAAGAAAACATTATTAATTACCATAAAATACCACAGTAAAGACCATTCAATGTGTTCAGCAATTCATTTAAGAGCCATTAAGGTAGTTTGTCAACATACCATCTGCTTCGCTATCTGCATCAGTCACATCTGCTAGTTTAGGATAGGATGCCTTCAAATTATGCCTCTGAGGCTGAGTTACAATCTTCGATGGAACACAGGCCACAGGGTTGCTACTGAGAGAGGCTGGTGGCAGTCTAGAGAGGCTGCTATGCATCATCTTTGACCTCTGCACTGCCACACTATACTCTGGAGGTTTTAGGTGCAGGTGGGATCCTTCCTTTAGGTCCGCTAAAGAAATCCCCATATATCCTGGAGGAGTGGGAGGTGGCTCCCTATACCTATCGTCCTTCTTGGGTGAGGTGACACAGTACACTGGCATGAAAAATAAGCAATGGAAATGTTAATGAAAAATATAAGAAATGAAAAAAAAAACACTGAAACTTATTACAATGATAAAATAGAACTTAAAAACAGACAAAAAATAAATTTGAATGCAATGACAGATTAAAAACATCTTTAAAAAGCTTACTAAACTTAATATTTAAACCTGTTTTTAAAATACATAAAAAACTACATTAAGTTTTATAAATATTAACAAGAATGAGAGAGAATTGAAGGAGATGGCACTAGTGACAAGCTTCCTTCTGCAGTTCAGCCCTCATATCACATAAATGTATGACAAACTGATGAAGTAACACCAGCCCTACAGATGATTAAGAAACCTTTAAAAGTTCACCCTAAACATCTATTCTCTGTTGAATGGGAGGGTTTTCACAGAAATAATGTTTGGGCCATCTGTTTAAGGGCTGTTTCACCCTCTTCCTGAGACACGGACCACTGTTTTCTGGCACTACTCGGCAGACTAGTTCTCAGTCCTGGCATATAAACAACTTTAACTTTCCTGGTATAGAGATAATAATTCCTTAAAGGACCATTCTAACTTCCGCTTTGTGATTAAGTGGAGAAAGAAAAAAAAAAAAAAAAACAGTTTTAGGAAATCATCTTAAATTTCTCTGATTTTTAGTGGACATTAAAAATAATTTAAATCTTTTCCCCTAAGTTTGTAAACCCTGGGACTAAGGAAAAGTTTCAAAAAGCATCAGAAACAGGTTAAAGAGGAAGCTCCATGAAATTAAGACCAATTCACAGAACCCACAGGACAAATGGTTCTCAATATCTTGATCATACAAGTGACTTTTAAAACACAAAAACTGCCTATATACACAAGCAGAATACATTAAAAAGAACCATTAGTTAATTATATTAGTAACTCTCCCATTAGAGGATTAGGTCTGTCCATACTAAAATTTCTACAGTTCTACCAGTAATTTGCATGTAACATCCAGGTCAGAAAGTATTTCCATAGCCATCTGAGGACGAGTGGGGTGGGACGGTGGCAGAGGAGTGATTGTCAAGAGAAGACAACAAGAATGAAGAAGGTAGCAATCTGCCCAGAGTTACCCAGAAAGGAAAGATTTTATCTATATTCTCAAACAAGAGGAAGATTTTTATATCCTTATACATACATGCTTCTATATAACTATAGTAGTTACCTTAGGTCTTAATAAACAAACAAACAAACAACAACAAAAAAAACCCTTGGAAAAAAATGAATGAGCTAATATCTCAATCTAAAATGCAATTTGACAAGTAACTATAAAAATCAGCACGTTTCCCTTTCCCATTTTTAGTAATTAAATGTGACATGAATATTCTATAGAATTAAGAGTGATTATTATTAAGAGTGATTATTATACTATTGATTACAGTAATATTGATTCAAAATATAGTCATTCCACATAAATAGAAAAGCAGGGGCTACTATATCCAAATATTTATATAATTCAGGGAAGAAATGAAAAAAAAAATATTTGCTAGCTAAGTACTAAAAAAAATACACTAAGAAAATTTAGAATGAAATCCACCAACAGGATTTGGTACACTCATGATTGTACACCAGGAAGGCATACTAAAAAATGCTTTTGACTTTATCACATTTTTTCTCTTTTCTCACATTTATCACTTTTACTACCTAAAAGAAATAGCAGACTAAATGTTTCTACCATATATGCATAGCAATTATGGTCCAAAAAATTTATGAGGAGACAAAGAATAATCTATTACTACTGCATAGTAATGCAATGATATTCCTCAATGAAATCAAAAAGACCTTAAAAACAAGATAAACAAAACTGTCTCCCTAATTAAATATCTTCACACCAGACATTTCATATTAATGGCTTGAATATCCGTCCCAAAGCCTTTGAGAAAACATGAACTTCTGGGAAATAATTTGTTTGTGGAGGGAGAAAAGAAAGGTTGGAGTTAGACAACAAATTTTTGCAAGAATAAAATCCTGGGCCAAGATGTCCTAATGCCATTTTTTTCACCACTTAATTTCTAAAGGCCAAAGATATAACAAAATCCACAACTTACCAATTAAGCCCTTTTCTGTACTTGAAGTGACAGTTTTATAAACTGGGTCAGCAGCATCCTTGCAGTCTAGAGAGGCTGCTATGCATCATCTTTGACCTCTGCACTGCCACACTATACTCTGGAGGTTTTAGGTGCAGGTGGGATCCTTCCTTTAGGTCCGCTAAAGAAATCCCCATATATCCTGGAGGAGTGGGAGGTGGCTCCCTATACCTATCGTCCTTCTTGGGTGAGGTGACACAGTACACTGGCATGAAAAATAAGCAATGGAAATGTTAATGAAAAATATAAGAAATGAAAAAAAAAACACTGAAACTTATTACAATGATAAAATAGAACTTAAAAACAGACAAAAAATAAATTTGAATGCAATGACAGATTAAAAACATCTTTAAAAAGCTTACTAAACTTAATATTTAAACCTGTTTTTAAAATACATAAAAAACTACATTAAGTTTTATAAATATTAACAAGAATGAGAGAGAATTGAAGGAGATGGCACTAGTGACAAGCTTCCTTCTGCAGTTCAGCCCTCATATCATTTTTTTTTTTTTGCAGTTGGCCAGTATGAGGATCCAAACCTGTGACCTTGATGTTACAAGGCTGTGCTCTAACCAACTGAGCAAACCAGCCAGCCCTGTTTTATTTTTCAATGTACCTCTGAGATTAGCCTAGTACAGTGCCAAGTAAATAGCAACTTCCCCACATACTTAGCAAATGAGTCCGATCATTTATAGCACAGCTCCCCAAACTAGGGCTCATGGGCCAAATCTAGCTGTCAGCCTGTTTTTGTATGGTCTGGAGCAAAGCATGGTTTTCACATTTTAAAAGGTTTAAACAAAACAAAAATCTGCACAGAATTTGTGACAGAACCCACAAAGGCTAAATATTTACCATTTTGTAAAGGCACACAAAAAAGTTTGGACCCTTAATTTACAGTATAGAGCAGAGGTAAGCAAACTACAGCCCAAGGCCAAATCCAGTCCTCTGCCTGTTTTTGTAAATAAAATTTTATTGGAGCACAGCCATGCCCATTTGTTTATGTATTGCCTATGGCTGTTTTGGTGCCACAATGGCACAGTAATGGCGACAGAGACCTCATGGCTTATGAGGTCTATAATACCTATCTAACTTTTACAGAAGAAAATCTGCTGACCCCTGGTCTAGAGAATAGTCAGATACCTTTACAAATATGATAATGATTAATACATATATCTTTAAATTTTCATATTAAAGTAGGTCAGATTTAACAATATTTATCAGTTTAGAATCAACTTCCCTAATACCTTGTCAAAGATTTCCATTTTGCTTAATTCTAAATAGAAGATTAGAGTTAAAAAAATTTTTTTTAAATTCACTTTTGCTAGCTGATTTTATATATATATATATATTTTTTGTCCTTTTTGAGACCGGCTGCACCGCGCTCAGCCAGTGAGCGCTGTGAGCGCACCGGTCATCCCTATATAGGATCCGAACCCGCGCTCCCAGTGCCGCACTCTCCCGAGTGCGCCACGGGCTCGGCCCTATATATATATATATATATATATATTTTAAGGCTAGTCAAGCAAAGTAGTGGGAGTGGAGAAGGAACAATGAAACCTGTAACTGGTTGTGAACAATTAGTTGAACACACCATTGCACTCATACCCGCTGCTAGCTGATTATTCTAAATCCCCAAATTACACTTTCAGAGAATAAGGATCAAGCATGGTCCTGCCCTCCCAACCCATCTGCAATGTGCACAGCAGTACATTACACAGCCTTTCTGAGTAACCTCTAACCTAACAGCCAGCATTTCAAGAACCCTTTCCCCCTGCAACAACAGCGGGTAAACCTTGAGTTCTTATTGACTGAAAAAATACATAATGATAGAAAGTTACTTGAATTCAGTAACAACTTAAAAATGAACACCTGCATACCTTTCAAAATGGGAGTTATTTGAATATTCAGTATAGAGAATATGGGTTTGGCCCTTGATGGAGTTTGGATGTGCTGTCCCCTCCAAACTCATTTGGAAATTTGATCCCCAATGTGGCAGTGCTGGAAACTGATTGAGTCATGGGGGTGGATCCCTCATGAATGGATTAATGCTCTCCCTAGTTGGGGGAAGTAATGAGTGAGTTCTCGCTCTATTAGTTCCCCTGAGAGCTAGTTGTTTATAGGACCCTGGTACTCTCTCTCTCTCTTGCTTCCTCTTGCCATGTGATTTGCTTGTACCTGCCGCTTTTCCGCCATGAGTAGAAGCAGCCTGAGGCCTGAGCCAGATGCAGCTGTCCCAGAATTGTAAGCCAAATAAGCCTCTTTTCCTTATAAATTACCCAGTCTCAGGTATTTCTGTTACAGCAACACGGAATGGACTAATACAGTCCTCATATTCTTTTATGGATCCCTTTGCAACTATCCCATGGTGGTGGTGGTGGGTTTCAAGCTCAAGTTGGGGAGCACTGCTAGGAGTGGCCATTTGGCTTGGGTTTTATGATATGAACACAGACAAGGATGTTTACCCAGGGCCAAGCTGACTATGGTCTCCTATCCCTGAGGGGTGCTCTGTCTTTTCCAATGCCCCCGTGGATTCAGGGACTGCCAGGGCCTGAGAGGAACACCGCTCATCCTGTAGAGCTGCAGACATGGAGTCAACAGAACAATTGCTCACGATGCTGGACCGGGAAGAAATCTCGCTATGACTGGAGTCAGACAAGTTGTCAGATTTAGCTGATGGTATAAGCGTATAACCTGAACGAGAAAAGAACACTGGTCAAACTATAAAACAAGGGAATTGGTGGTGGGGCCAACAGGGAGAGTATAAAGAAAAACATAAAAAAGAACAAAAAACTAAGTGATAGCAATCTCAGTTTCCATCTATGTAGATGTAATGGTACCAATTTTCTCCACACATTCCCCTACATATCTATTTACCTACCTGCACAAACCATGCCAATCCAACTCCAAATTGAAGAAAAAGAAAGTTACAGTTCAGTATTACTGAGAATACTAGTCCAAAGGTATAACTGCCCCAGGGTCTTACACAGCTACAAGCATGTAAGAAAACAAAATGGCATTAAATACATTACAAACATTAAAAAGTAGAAGTTAAGAGTTTCTCAAATTCTTCTTAACCTCTGTCCACTCTTTTGATTAACATAAATATTTCATGGCCTGACCTGAATCCAGAATATCACCTTGAGGTCAGAATGAGGATGGGAGTCAGAATGCAAAAGAAACAACTTCATGTTTGCTTTTTCAAACTACATATACTTACCCCAGATACTCTACTCATGCCATTTAAGAAGTCTTGCCCCAAGTTGAGAGTCAACGTTTTAGTACTTTTAAATTTTAAAAAAAAAATTTTTTTTTGAGCAGCTGGCTGGTAAGGGGAACCAAACCCCTGACCTTGATGTTATAACACTATGCTCTAACCAATGAATCAAATAAGCCAGCTGTAAATAGTTTTAGATTTGGACTTAATCTTATACCTAGTTTCCTTTTTCTTCACCAACTTTGCAGATTATTACATTAAAAAACTGAATTGACATATTTATAAGAAAATATTATAACAAAACAGCATCTACATGCTTTAAATTGTTTTATGACTTACTGCACAGTAGATAGTTGGGAAGATTTTCTTTTGTATTCTTTGGAATAAAGGTGTGGGATGTAGTGAGGTGGAATGATCCAAAGACAGATGTGCAGCATGACAGTTAAATATACATAATAGTCTATTTTGATAATTGGAAGAAAAGAAACCAAGCTTTTATTTAGAAATAAAAGAAAATGCCTTAGTAATCCCAATAAAGGGTAGGTCTCAAAGAAGCAAGCAATATCTTGTTCACAGAAGAAAGTGAGATTCAATAGATACATGACCTTTGGAACAATCCCTAGAAATCTCATTAAGAACTATAAGTTTTGGACATGTTACTGGAATTCTAAAGGCCTCAGCTTCTTCATGCATAAAGAAGAAGACAACAACCTAAGCTTCAAGGTCCTTCTTTTCTTTTTTTTTTCCTTTTTGTCTTTTTTACTGACCGGCAACGGGATCGCAACCCTCGGTGTTGCGCCCGCACCGCGCTCAGCCAGTGAGCGGGAACCGGTCTCCACATGGGATCCGAACCCTCGGCAGGAGCGCCACCGCGCTCCCAAGCGGCACACTCTCCAGTGCGCCACCAGGCCGGCCCGGTCCTTCTTTTCTTTAAGGATTTTGGAATTTATTCACATATAACTCAAATCATTAAAGAAAAAATTCGTTGTACAATAACCTTATTAAGTAGTTTCATAAACTATTTGAAAAAGAAAAATTAAGACCCAGAAAATGAATGGTTTATACTTGACTTATGGGGCCAGGAACAGGGTAAGCCAAGACAAACCCATCTCCTGTCTTCTATCACAATAACCTTATTAAGTAGTTTCATAAACTATTTGAAAAAGAAAAATTAAGACCCAGAAAATGCATGGTTTATACTTGACTTATGGGGCCAGGAACAGGGTAAGCCAAGACAAACCCATCTCCTGTCTTCTATCACACATCTCTGAACTGGGGATCACTGCTATTTGTCAGTGCCTATAAATTGATGAGTCAATTTTCAAGAGGACCAAGAAAATGGATGTGGTAAAAAAAATTTTTTTTAATTTATTAAAAAACGCTTCTGCCTGAAAAGAAAAAAACACTGCTCTTTAATCCTACAGAAAAGACTTCTTTCATTGTTTAAAAATAATTTCATCCTTAAGTCTGTTAGATCAATATTACTCAAATATAATCAATTCTAAGAATCCCCTGGAAAGCTCATTAAAATACACATTCCTAGGCTGTTTCTGGCAGATGAAATTTATGAGGTCTAGGGTGGAGTACAGTAATTTCATTTTTTAAATAAATTTCCCAGATGATTTTGAACCTGCTAAGTTATACTAGCTCCTCCTCCCCCAATTAGAGATATGTGAAAAGTGAATGATATAAAAAGTATATGTGGACAAGGTATAGTTTCTTGTGTCCCAAACATTTTTTTCTCTAGCTTATTAAGTAGATGAAATACTAACACAGTAATAAAATTCTGAGGAAAAGATTCTGACCAGATTATTAGTGGGGATTTTATGGTGAAAGTGAACGGTTCTTAAAAAGCCTTCTCTCCTTATTTTGTTCACAGACCCAGATGCTACCAGTAGGAAATAAAGCCAACTACAGAACACAAGAGTATAAAGTTTACTAACTCAATACATTAGTAAAATAACATGTATACAAAGAAGGCACTTTAAATCAGCATGACTTTGTTGTTAGAGGACCTGTAATACTAATCATAAAATGCTTATAGATAGTATTTTACTAAGTTGTCTGCCTAAGCTTTGACAAACGGCTTAATTTAAGCTACATTTACATAAATAACTGAAAACAAACTTAACACTAAAATTAAATAAGGAACTTCGTCAAAGTGTCTTTCTCCTTTTAGACTTGAATCTTGTATAGAAGCAGTTTAAAGTGTTATTGTTGCCTCGGCTATTTGAATTGAAGATGTCACTCCCTTTCTCATCTTTGATGTTGCTTCCAACATCCTTCACTTTCTCACAGCTTTCTGTAGCTTGATTGTGATCTGCGTCCTCTTTTTTGCTGTTGACTAGTCTCTCCCTTGAAAGAGTTCTTTCCCTAAATCTTCTAAACGGGGATGTCATTCTTTTTCTGGTTGTGTTCTCACAATTTGTCCTGTCTCTATTCTCCTCAGTGGCCTTCTCGGTCCTGTCTGTTCTTTTGGCTGTGCTCCTGGTAATCTGAAGGATTTTCTTTTGCAAGTAAACCCCACCTATTCCGGGGCAGCTCTGGCCACTGATCTTGGTGCTGGACTCAGATATGATACTGCCAACTGGAGGAAGAGATGCAAAAACCCTGACATGGTCAATTAATTCTTTCCAATTAATCACAATTAGCCTGGTTTTTATAACACATTACACTATTAAAAATTCTAACATCTTTACAATATCTGAAAAATAGAAATATAGCATCATATTTTTTAATGCACAGAAAATCTACTATATAACAAACAAATCAGTCATTGCAAGATAGAATGCAGGAGAAAGATTACCTTGATCAGAACAAGCTGGTAATAAAAAACTGTTGAAAGCAAGCCAAGCTGGTAAAATCATAAGAAAATATATGACAAGAATATCAGGTAACCAGAATTATTCCTCCAAAGTAACTACGTATTTCTAGAATTTTCAAACAGATTTTACTAAGAAAAAGCTTAGTAAAAACCCAATAGGACATATAAATAGCAAAAACAGTAGGTATATTTAAAAAGCACAATTTCTAATCCTCTTGTAGCTCCAAGGGGAGAGGCCACCTTTCTTAAACAGTGGGGAAGATAATGCTTAAAGTCTCTTGATGTTGTGCTTTTTAAAAGTTCCTACTTGTTTAAATTCTCCTTGTGAGAAACACAAAGACAGGCTTATTTTCTTAATTGTTAGAAAACAAAGAAATAATCTAAAAGTTAGCAAGAGCTAGGAACAAATCCTAAACATACTCTTAGTGTAATGACATTTCCGTTCAGTCACCAACTACTAGCAAAGACCTGTTTATGGAAACAGAAATAATCATATTCTGTTGGGGTTTTGACAGAAAATATGTAAGAACAATTTGCAATAGTTTTGAAGAAAATAATTTCTTCAGGCTTCTAAGGATTCCAAACACGACTATGACAGGCTTGCAAATCTATAAACATCATGGTCAATTGTTGGCTACACACTGAAAGACACAATGGAGAAAAGACTTCTCTATTTCAGCAGTGAAAGTGGATTTTGTGTTGGGAATAAGAGCAATGGGGGGAATTCCTGTCCCAATACGTCTTCCTACAGGTTACATTCAGGCATAAAATACCAAATCAGATCCAACTAGTTTCCTGGTTAGAGAACTGTTCATACTGGGACAGACTTCTGAACAGCTTCCAAGGTGGACCTGAAAGAGCACTAAGAGCATATGGATGCTGTTCACTAGGACCATCTGTCTGACTTGGAGGCACCAAAGGTTGCCAGTCCTGCTCCTTAAGATCTGATAAGGGGCACATTGGACAGGATCATACAGAGAGGTAAAGAGATAAAAAAGGTCTGTGTGCCCCACAAAATTGTATATGAACTAAAAGAGGATCAGAAACCTGTATTTTATAAATATACCTATTATATATACTGTTTATATGTCCTATTTGACTTTTATGAAGCATAAATGAAAATTCTAGCCAGTCTCACCTACGTGAGGGTAGAAAGGGCAGGTGAGTATCAAGTTGTGTTGTCCTGGAGTGGTAGCAGGGAAGGGAAAAAGACACTCCAATTTACTAAACACTTATCATGTATTAGGCTTTATAAATATTACGTCATTTAAGCCTTATATGAGGCCCATGAAATAGATGGTCTTTTCCCCATCTTACAGACAGGAAACCTGACCTTATGAATATATTACTTGTAACAAAGCTATAACGGGGGGCAAAGTCAGGATTCAAACTCAGGTCTGACATCACTGTACATCACTGCCACATAGACGGTAAAATAAGAAAAAGCCCTGAAGAGTGAAATAAAACTTAGAATATAGGAGCTGAGGGAAGCTCTGAAAGCTTCTCCCTTCTGTTAGAATTCATAAGCTTGTCTTTCCTCTGATCATGTACCATCCTGTGCTGTGATTATTTAGAGATGTAATTCTTTTACATCTGTGAAGAAGATGCCAGGGCTAAGAAGTCTTTTTTGCCAGGGCATACACAGAGTGTGGAGGGGCCAATGTAAGAAATGCATACGCCATTTAGAAATGCTACATGTGTAGCTAATGTGAAATGGCATCTACATACACACTGCCCAGGCTAGTCAAGAAAAGAAAAGCTTCAGTGTGAATTATGAAAGCATACGTAAATAAACAAGGATTTCAGATTTTTCACCTCATGAGGTTCTACATAAGTATAAATATTACATTTAAATCCTGATTAATAAAAAGGTAATACTACTCTATTTAAGAAAAAAAAAGTATCAACCTAAATACTTGTTTCTCCTCTTAAATCTTGTAGTCAGTTAAAAACAATTTTTTGCAGAAAATTTTACTAGCAAATAGTCCACACTAACATTCAAATATAGGAAATATTTTAAAGGATCGCACTTTGAATACTGGAGTCCTAGCTACATGATACATACTACCTGAAAAGTATAAGTATTTAAATAATTCAACACAAAACATGAAAGCTTAAAAGTTACACTTTTCTTAACTCTCTCTATTATTGCTATAGATTAAAAAGCAAAATAAGAGACAAATAGTGTTGTGTGATCTAACAAGAACTGGCCTGACATCTTCTGTCTTACCTTTCCGAGGGGAACCTTGAGGAGACGCAGGAGGACTAGAATGTAAGGATGATGCCACAGAAACAGTGTCTTCTGTATGTTTCTTACCGCTCATTTCTTCAGTTGTTCCTAAAACTTTCTGAGGTAAACTTGTACCTAAAAATAAAACCAAAGAAGCAAATAAGCATCATTTCACAATTATGTCTACAGTTGTTTGAATCACTACATAACTAAAGCCATGATGCACAATGGCTACTGTAGTCACTGAAATGTGTAATCAGTTGAAATGTGTAAATGACAAACAGGGACTAAATGACTGGGTAATGGCATACAGAGATTCTCACCTCTAGGTTATTTGTTCAAATTCAGCTGGTCAGCATGGAACAAATTACAATAGTTAAATAGTTTGTCTGTTTGTTTTGTGGCATAAGGGAAATCAATTTAACAGCCTGAGAACAGTGCCCCAACCCCCCACAATTGACACATTTGTTTGAAATCTTAATAGAGAAGGTATGGATTCAAGCTCTTCCCTACCCTCTAAGGTGGCCTCTCCAAGTCAGGGCGAGGCACGTGGCAGGGGCAGTGTGGGGATATTGGCACTGTCACTACCTGTGGTACATCTGTGCTGTGGGTATACAGAAGAGGCTGCAGGGCTGCCAGTCCAGCCCTTTTCAAGAGCACTAAATTCACACTATAGGAGAGAAGTAAACAACAGAAAGAATCATGAATTTATACAAAAAATAGTATGGAGTCCCACTGGAAACATTCTTGCAAAGTTCTATCATTAGCCTTGTCTAACAGCTGGACCTGTTTAGTGTAGGTCAAACTTAGCAATAATGTTAATATACTGATGTTTTTACATATACCTTCTCTAAGAGATGTCAAAGAGCTACTGACACTGTTCTTGACAAGTAAAGCAAGCACAAGTGAGATAAGGATTTGACATACTAACAGCAGCTTTTGACAACAAAAAGATTTTAATCATAGTATACTCACACTACCCTTCATTAAATGACATTATAATATAAACATATCAAACATTTTAATATAAATAACAGCCATACTACAACAAGAGGGAAGAAAGCTACCTGGTATAAATAATACTCTCAGGTAACAATACACTAATAAGAAACCAGAACTAAACTTGTCTCTCTCTCAGTCCTACCAACAAATTCATCAACTTTGCCTATTTTGCATCCAATTCTCTCTTCATTTCCATAGCCACCAAACTAGTCCAGGCCCTGAGCAACTTCCAATTAACTGTCACATCAGCATTCCATCTGGGCTTTCTATATCCAGTCTCACTGCACTCCATACTATAGTCCTTCTCAAACATAATTTAGACCATAAGCTTCCTTTGTTAAAATCTCTTCAATGGTTTCCCCGACAACTTCCCTTTAGCATGTCACGTTATAATTTCAGCATACTTATGACTTCATTTCTCTTCATCCTGGAAGGCTGTTCAGTATAGTGGTTAAAAGCAAGGACTTTAGAGCCAGTCAGCCTGGGCTCAACTCCCAGCTTCATTCCTTGCTCGCAGTGTGTAAGTTACTTAGGCCCTCTATGCCTCCTCTGTAGAATGAGGGTAAGATACTACCTATCTTGTAGGGTCATTATGAGACTAAATGAATATATCGAGTTAGTAAAGCACTTTGAACTGTATGTGGCACTCAGTAAGTGAAAAGTGTTAGCTTTAATTACTATTGTCTCTCAGCATTCTGCATGCAATTTGCAGTCAGAGTCAGCAAAGTGCTTGTAGCTCCTTGCAAATACCAAGCTGTTTCTCTGCCTGAAGCAACTTCTCTGGAACCTTTGCTTAATTATTTCCTTCCTCATCAACGTTTAAGACCCTGTGCTTAGGCGTTATCTGCAAAAAGCCTCCTTGTGAAGCCTCACTTACCTCTGCCTGTGCAAAAACATCCTCTTGTTTTGTTCTTTTATATGTTCTGTATATACCCGTGGCATAACAGCTAACACAATATACTGAAGTTTTCTGTTTGTATGAATATCTCTATCCCCTGACTGAAAATCTGGCAAAGAAGGAGGCATTTCTTTTCTTTTTTTTTTTTTTTGTCTTTTTCCGTGTCTGGCAACGGATCGCAACCCTCAGTGTCGCCCCCGTACCGGACCGGGACCGGCAACGGGATCGCAGCCCTCGGCGTTGCCCCCGCGCCTCACTCAGCCAGTGAGCGGGAACTGGTCTGTATGTGGGATCCGAACCCTCGGCGGGAGCGCCGCTGCGCTTCCCAAGCCGCGCCCCACAGCCGGGCGCCCCC